TCCATGTTCCTACAATTAAACCCTGAAAGGACACAATAGAATAGAATCATTTTTTAAGCGTGCTTTGAAATCTGCTTCGAATGTGGTATTAGTGGTGCACAAACATATTCACAACTAGGCCAGAGGATGCATACAGGAGTAGAACAGTAGACTATATGTGCAGAACATAGAATACATGGAACAGTCAATCTCTGCCACTACTGCGTATTCAGGCAGAACACAGTTTGGTTGTCAAAGGTGATGAAAAATGCATTGAGCTTGTTCCATGAGAATATACTAATGAGAATTAAAAATGCATTACATAAATGCAGTAGAAATGTTTTGTGGATCCTCACCACACTTCCTGAGGCTAATCAGACAGTAACAGCAATGCAAAACTGCTCATTTTATTAGGAAGTCTTAGGACAGTTAGATTAAAGTTTAGGTGTAAACTCTGTGTGAGGCTCTGAGAGAGGGGGTGGCATTATGTCCGATTGGATAAATTTGAGTGAAATCATTTTAAATTTTGTGCAGACCATGGAGACATATTTTAATGCTGTATGTAAATGTTAACTGTATAAATCGTCTATTGGTCTTTGCCGTCTGTATTTGAAGTGTTTATGTTGATCTCCCTGTGAGACTGCTCCTGGGTTTTTCTGTTTTGCCTGTGTAGGTGTCAAAATGATCCAGTTGTTTCTCTAGCTGTAGCTAAAGCAGGCTCATTGCCTCAGGGACCCAATTACAGACTTTTGTGGTTAGTAACAAAAATGCATCTTTAGTTCTGGTGTAAGAGCATCCCAACAGAGCAGAAAAAGATAAAAAAAAACAAAAAAAACAAACAAACCATAAAGCGCAACTGCAGGCCACTGCTGTCAGAGTCTGCTCCCTCACTTTAAACCACTGGTCCTCCAGTCTAAGTCCTACTGTGCTGTCTGCATCTGGCCCTCAGCACAGCCGACACTCCATAATTCAGTCAACCATTAAAAAACTCCCCCTCTGTCTGCCTGGGCCAACCACAGTCTCTCACAGTTACTCAGCTGCTCTGTAACTAGGGCAGCTGCACTGCAGAGATGCTCCGCTGGCACTGCTCAGAGTAAATACATTTTCACATCAGTTTAGTTAATTCAAAGTGTTACCATATTCATACATAATGCTCCCGGTTGTATACACATCAAGCTTGAAACAAAAAAAAAAAATTCCACACAGGTAGCAGAATGATAATAACAATGATAATAATAATCACTATACCAACTATAAAGACTACTTCCAAGTGAAAAAAGTAATTACAAAAGATCTGGAAACTGCACATGAAATATTTAACCACTGGAGAGTGCTGATGACATTCAATCAGAGAATTAGAAACCAAAGTGAATAAAGATGAAATCAGCTATTCAAGTTATCAGTTATAATAAATGTTGCTAGGATACAACCACCACAATTTACTGATATCTGCCATAGCCCTGATGTTGTGTAGTGAATTTAGAGTAGACTGAAAATCGTGTTCAGAAAATTCAAGACAGTGTTTAGGGCTTTTCATGGCAGTCAGACTGTTGTTCTACTGCCTGGCCATAATATGTAAACAACCTAAACATCTGTTGCAGATGACCACGAGGATGTAATCCTCTTTATCATCACAATGGTACAATAACAACATCTTTGGCATGGCAACAAATAGTAAACACATCAATAACATTACAACAGTAATACCATTTAAAATACATTCAGATCATAAATACGTAAAAATTTCTCAAATGCTATGATGTGCTATTTAAAGTCAGAATAATACTCTCTTCTTTTTGCCTGCTTTCCTGATTTCAAACAACAAAATGTTTGAAAAAAATGTATTTGAACAGACTTTTAATCCTAAAATTAGCATTTTAGCAGACAGTCTGTTTATTTTTAGTCCTTCAGATGTTCAGCAGGAGCACACAATCCCAAACTGCTCCCTTGTGTAGGTGTGAGGAAGAATGTAAGGAAATTGTTTCTGGCGACCAAAAAAAAAAAAAAAAAAATTTAAAATCAATATGTTTACATTTAATTATTAAGATTAATGACTCTGGTAATGTAATATGATGAGGCCTGGTTAGGCCACGTTGCATTCAATCTTTGAACAGTTCAGTAGTTCAATATCACAGGAAAGTAGGCCAGTGTGACTGACTAGTTGTCTGCAGAGGACTAACAATGTCACTGCAAAGCGAATACGACTCCTGCATGTTATCGCTGCTGGACCTCCCCTCAACTTGCAGCACAAAAATCTATGGCAAACGGCTCTGTCCTCTGGGTACTGGAGCAAACCGAGACGACTGTGATTAACTGAACTATTTCACTGTCAAGTCGAGTCAGCCATCTCACATGAACGATGAGACTGTGGTTCTGTGAAAGAGGAGAGTCTGAGGCCCACTGTTGTTGTTGTCGTTGGAGACAGACTCAGGTCTTGATGCTGCTTGTTATCAGCGATGTCTCTCTGTAATGAGACGGCATCATTACAGATCGTACTGATGTGAGGGAAAGTTTCAGTAAGAACTCAGTGATAGTTAAACATGATCAGATGTGATGTTCGACCTGAATCCTGGGTCTAGTAAAGTGTGCGTTTGTGTGTTTGTGTGTGTTTGTGTTTGTGTGTGTGTGTGTGTGTGTGTGTGTGTGTACTTTGTGAGGACCAGTTTGAGTTTTAGACCATTGGAGGGAGGACATTTTGGCCAGTTCTCACTTTCTGACACACCCTCAAATGGCCGTTTGAGGGTTAAGACTTGGTTTTAGGGTTTAGGTTAGTGATACATTTAGGTAAGGGTTAGGATTGGGCAGTCAGTTGTGATGGTTAATGTTAGGGTAAGGGGCTGGGCAGTGCATTATGTCAGAAAGTGTTCTCACAAAGATAGCTGTACACACATGTATTTGTTTTGTTTTCATGATGAAAATGAAATATTCAAAGACCCTAAAGTAGGACAACATGTTAGACAACAAGAGATTTGCCAAAGGAGCCATCCATGTAAAAAGTAGCATTTCTCTCTATGCCCCCCCCCCCCCCCCCCCCCCCCCCACACACACCCCACACACACACACACACACACACAGATGCACGCGCGCACACATAGATAATCAAGATACTGACTTCGAGGCAAAGTAGCACATAAAAAAACAAAAAAAAAAACAGGCGCTCATGCACTCAATGATACACCTACTTGAAGACAGTCATCCGTCAGAGGTGATATCCATCCGCTTCTTCCAGGTGACTTTGATTTGCAGGTGCGGTGAGGTCCAAAATCATGCAACCCAACATTTAAAAAAAAAAAAAAAGATCATGCGAGTGTTCGACGCACATTTGACGTCAAATGTGCATCAGAGAGCAAATATTTTCATCTCTACTACCTGATATCCAATGTGTTATCTCGGCAGTTTTAAACTGTAACACAGGGTAATATGAAACCGGTTCGACATGAAGGTCCGAACAGAAGCAGTGGTCCCCACGCCGCTGCTTCAGCACCGCTCAGGCTGGGGGAGATATTGCGTCACAACAGCTTTAGCCAATGAAGAGAGAGAAGTCCCTGCCAATCAAAGCATCCAGACACCTGGTAGGAAAAGAGTTAAAATCCCGTGAACACATTTTTTTTTTTAAAGAATGATAAAAATAAACATCAGGGGTAGACGTATAACTTACAGCCTCGTAATAGCTCAGTGCCTGAATTTTTGCATTATTTAATGATGAGTCACACATATGACGTATTAAATCAGATGTAATTTAAAAAAAATTGTCTACTAAGGGGAAAACATAATAATATTAATATTAACATTAATTATTCCACTATAACACTCTGATCATATTACTGTTCATGATCTGATATTCATATTTTCTCATTTCTAACTATCTACCTTATTCAGTACACATTTTAGCTTCATGATTCAAAATATATTTAACAGTGTAAACTTGTGATGCAGTGATTAGTTTATAAAATTAGAGAGTACAGTGCAAAGCACAGGGACGGTCACATCACAAATATGCTGGTGCCTTATTCAGCTCACTAAGCCTGGCTCAGCTCGCCCTCCAGTGGTGCCAACGAGCTGTCAGCTACTGATGCATTCCTTCCCACCAAATCTACCATGATAACCAGTTTAAGATACAGTGTTAGTGTTGCAGATGTCAGAGGTCAATCAGCTCTTTGTTAATATTTGTTATCTCCAAACCAGACACCCCTAAGAATTTAATATATTAACATGGTCAAAAATATCCTCACAATTCCCAGCCTTACTACTCATCCTTGGTACAAAGTGACCTTTGACACAGTAACTATGGTCCATTTCCGGTCAGTATTCACATAGATATGCAATATTTCTGTATATTTATTTTGAATTCAACATTGTTTTGGTATTTTATTATTTATCACATGAGCTTTTGGTGGAAAGGCAGCAATATAAAAATAATATATTTTTTTTTAAATATGTAAAAGCTGTGAGACAAAGCTTCTCCCTTTTTAGAAGACTTACAGAAATATGTCATTGTACCTGAGAACCTGAGAAATACATTTAATTAAAAATATGGGGGGTTCAAAATGTCTTTTTTTTAAGTTTTTTTTTTTTCATCAACCAACAGAAAAGTTTTTTCAGGTTATTCCATTGCATTAAAAAGTAGAGGGAACTATGAGGAATATTTTAATTTGTTTTCAATTTGTTTTACAGTTAAAGACAAACAAAGTTTACAACCTCTTAAAAAATGTAAAGTATATTTGAATATTAACATTGCTTACAATATGTACAAATAAATATATAAAAATAACATGAACCAATAAACTCAGAGCACCTCAAAAACTTTGCGTGAATATTTGTATTTTCTTATTAAGAACATGCTCAGATGTACACAGCCTGTCTGATGTTCTGCCAGATTTGTAAAGAAATGAAATGGTAAAAAATAAAAATCCCTATCACTGTAGATGGAGCTATTTTACTCTTCATGTGACTCCAACTTTTACAGCTTTGTTTTGCTGCTGTGCAGGGCCAGATCAAATTCCTTTCACTGATAAACATCCAATATGTCTTCAATATTCAAGTCAGAATATTTGACTTGAATATTGCAATAATTTGGGTTCATTTTGAGGGAGGTTGCTTGGTTCCATAAGGCAGATGTCCGTTTTGTCAGCAGTCGTCGGGACAGAGCCATGATTGTGTATCTCTTCTTTAGGTGGAGATCCAGAAGGAACAGATATTTTTCCTGTAAAGATAAGAAGCAGCTTTATTGCAGTGTCATTAATTACTGACTTTGTCCACACCATGCAGAATGCATGTGGACACAACTTCACACACTGCACAAATATAGTTAAGAAATATCACTGGACATTTGAAAATCAGGGAAAGGACTATTATGCCTATTTAATATTGTATGGTGTCATCTGGAGGAGCATGTCTAGTTTCATGTAAATGGCAAAACATTCAAGTATACAGATTTACTCATGTTAGTGGTACAGTAAATGAACTTTATCAGAAACACAATCATCTGATTGCTGTCTGTGGATGTTGGCTGGAAACATTTGAGTTTCTTTAATGTGCCAAAAGTTTGATTATTAAGGCTTCAAAATTTCCACAAAGCTGTACCTGCAGTATTTAGTGCCGCACTCTAAGTGATCTCTGCAGCTGGCACCAACAGGCTTCATGCTGTTCCAGCGCCACAGCAGTGATCGCTTGGTCCGCCGGATCAAACCATTCCAGTCTTCAGGCAGAGGCAGTGAGTTGACCTGTAAAAGTCAAATATACAATCCTATAAGAGCTCATGATGACCTTCATGATATACTATGGTAATAAAATCAAAAAACGTTACTCTATCAAAAATCAAAAGCCATGATGTTAGCAAAGAAGAGATCAAGCAAACTTTACAGTAGCACAAGGATCATTAACTTACCTGAACGACACAGATCAAAGACAGAATAACTGAAAGAACGATGATTTTTTCTTGAAGAGTCCTCATGCTGGTGGCAGGTCAAATTCAAGAGAGATGTTGTTCTACAGCAGGGCTGCTGTGTTGTCCCATGCCACTTGTATAAAAGGCTTTAATTGGGTTGGGGAGGAGTCACCCTCTGGCAGATATCAAAGATTAATTGGCCAGTGTGCTGCCTTAAAGACTGCGGCTGAGGATTGGCAGAGGAACTGACCTCCTGTCAAAGCTGCTATGCAAACCCCTCTGCACAGTGGCACTTATCAGTTTTATAATGACAGCCAAAGGCATAGTTTATCTGCTGGGAGCCAAAGTACACTTTAACCCGGTAATTGAGGACAATTCCACGTCGGAGGTGTCTGACTGAAACTTTAACGTGTGTCATGGACTGTAGAAGTGTACCTATCCACGCATTTGGCTCCTGAGAATGTGAAGTGAAGTTTGCCAAAATTAGAGACTAACCAGTGACCACTGGTTTACACTTGCGCCTGATATTAACTCCTCTTCCGCCCAGTAGATGTTGAACTTGAGCTGATGTGAGTATCACTTTGAATGTGACACTGTAAAAAGCATACATCCATAGAGGAATAGCTCAACATTTTTTTCTTGCCAAAAGTCAGATGAGAGGATGGATACCACTCTTGTGTCTGTCATACAGCCAGCAGACAGTTGGCTTAGCTTGGCATAGAGTGGAAGCAGTGTGAAACAACTACCCAGGCTCTGTCCAAAGTGGAAAACAATGATTAATATACCCATTTCCATTTCCATACTGTATATAGCAGGTTTGTAGGTAAGTCATCAGTCTTTCAAAATACTTCCAGTGCACTATACGACCATTAATTTTAACTGATGATTCATCTGTTGAAATCAAGGGTGGTGTGTGTGCATGTGTATGTATTAAGTTTCAACACCAATCAGACTGAAGTTAGTCATTCTTTATGGTGACCTCCATTAAAAAAAGGAAAAAGCAAGGTGAGCAATGATACAGCACGTTATCAAGTCGTTTTGCAATGTGTGATGGAGGAAACACGAACACACCTGCGGAGAACATGAAGCACACAGAGTTTATTGAGGTTGTAGCAAATGACAAGACAATGTGCAAATTGTTGGATACGTGAACCATTATATGTAAACAGTGATTATGTATTGATTTTACTATGCAGTAGTAGTGGTGCACACATTATCTTTTACATATAAAAAAAACTCCACAACTACATTAACGGTAGACAGCTTGTCAGTGATGTGTTTGAAACATTGGTTAAAATGGACACATTTTAATAACATTCTGTATAGTGCTGGACAGAAAAGCCATTAGGTTTGAGGAGTGAGCTATCCAAACAGCTGTAGCCCCCCCCCCAAAAAAACACTGTATTTTTCTGCAAACTTTAAATAAAGTCCCATCAATCTAATAACATTCAGAAATGCAGAATTTAAAAGTAAAAATCATGGAGGTTAAAAAGGTATACATTATTTAATATTTGCAAAAGTCTATCAGTAGTGTCTCTGTATACACTGATTTTAACATAATATCTGTAGAAATTAAAAATCACACATTCATGCCGACATATTGGAATTAGGGGAAAGAAAGTAGTGCATATTGAGACAAAACATCCACACCTGGCAAAAAAAAACAACCTTCCCTTTATACTGCCACTGTTGAAGTAATACTATTTGGCTGTTATTCCACATCATACTATATACATGTGTACTGTAGATTACTGTGTTTCCACCGAAAGCTAGAGCAGGGTGCATGGTTTTGAAATGAAGCTGATCTGATTCACGATAGATTCAGAGCTTCAGACACCTCAGGAGACTGAGCGAGAAGTCTAAATGAAAAGGAGGACAGGGCATGACTGAAAATGACGATATTTGCAGAGCTTGACTTTGTTCACTTGGTTTATGTCTAGAAATAAAGATGATGTGAAAGAGGAACAAGAGGACATTTCTCTTGCATTTCTTATTCGTGCTGCCTCAACAGTCTCACCAAACCACTGTAAATCCTTTAATTTTTGGATTTGTTCTGACCCGTCTCTCTAGAGGATCTAAATCAGATTTTGAAGGAGAGTTCAATTATTCTGCTCAGGTTCTAAGCCACATATTGAGAATTAAAAAGAAAAATAAACTCAATTAAAGATTTGAAAAAAAAAAAAGGGATTTCAGCATCATTAGAACTGAAATGAGAAGAAGACATTAGTCCCATCCCCGTAAGAAACAACAAAAACACTTCACTTCCTTCTTTCCTTTCACTTTCTTCAACCAACAGACTAACAGATTAAAATGAGTAATTCTTGTTAACAATGGACATTTTCAAACTGTTACTTAGGGGTGAAACTGTTACTGAACCCTTGAGATGTTGAGTTATACTGCAAACGTGACAATCTTCTTCTTTTCAAATCCTGTTTGGTGCTATGATGAGAGCAGGGGCTGTCGTTCAGCAGCAGTGCTCTGAAAAAGTCAAACCAGACATGAAACATGTTAACGCTGATAAAAATCTGATCCTTTCATCACTGTACACTGCTGCATTTCGTCCGCCTCGGGCCCGCTAGTGTTGCAGCTCCTCTACTTTAAGACAGCCGGGCTCTACAGTGCAGCATCCCGCTGCATAGGCTCAATGCGAAATATTATATATTTGAAAATACTGTTAATTTCCCAATATAACATCCCTCTCTTTCTCTCGATAAACAGCAGAAAATCAGAACGTATTCAAATTAAAAAGACTTTTCTATATGATCACATACCAGTTGCTGCTCTAAGGTCACAGACTCACACACTCACCTCAGGAATCTTTTGTCGACACATCAGGAACATGAAGATTCCTCCCAGAGTGATGCCTACGCCAATCAGCATGAACGGAATGTTGACCACAACATTCTGCTCGAGAGCAATCACCTTCAGCTTCACGACCGACTCGTCGTCAATGACAACGCTCTGAGAAGACAGTAAGAGAAAAGATTACATAAAGCAGTGAACAAGGAAAACTCTGATTATCTATTACAGTAAACATCAAACTATTCTATACTATTCTTTCATTTCATGTTTGTAATGTAGTTTTTGAAAGCAGAGAAAGACATTAGAATTTGAGTTTTACAAGCAACAGAGTTCCTGATCATGAAATTTGGCCACGACTGAATACTATGAAAAAACATCTGTCTGAATGTATGTGGTTTAATTTCACCAATGGAATGTGTATGTATGTGTGTATGTGTGTGTTTGTGTATTTGTACCTCATTTAGGTAAACCACAGGCAAGACCATTGTCCTCACATTTCCTGTTTGACTGAAAAAAAGTTAAATAAAATAAATTTATTCACAATGTTTTGTCTGCTATCATAATTATTTAGATGTTCTTTTGAGTACTTTGAACATCCGCCTGTTAGTTGATGAATAAATGGAAAATGACATTCAGAAAACAAATAATTTCCTAACACAACTAAATCTTCCCGGGTGTGCTGTTCACTGTGTAAATATATAGTATATTCTACATTTAGTTTTTCTACATAACATTTGATAACACGTACATCTGGTAGGTCTGGACTCAAGATTATCTTGCTGTTTGTTACTTTAGATGCCAAGTAGACGCATAACAAGTGAGCCTGGTCTGTCCAAAAGTCCATTCATAATGATGATGGTGGCAAAATTGCTTTACAGTTATCTTACTGGCAACCCGACCCATCCGTAGGAAGCCATACAGTCATTACAGCTTCATTTAAAGCCAGTATGGAGACGGGAGTTTTTATGAGAAAAGGGAGAGGTTATGTAAATTTCTTGGCAGTAACTAGATACTGATGAAGTCCATGAAGTGATTACCTGAAGTTGGGAATTTTTTCCACATACACGTTGACCTGGATCCGCTTTGCTGCTTGCAGAATGATTCCTGTTAGCTGCAAAACACAATTAGACTTGGTTTAGTTGACTTAAGAGGAACTCAACGGTGCAGTGCAGTATACTGCACACTGGTATATTTAGACCTGTCGCACCTCGTGTATGAACAGATGTGCCTCATTATAGCATATTCAGTACCAATACCCAGACACTAGATATTACGTGCAAGATCTTTGTGCTGCAAGTATTTTTCAGTTTCATTTTTTCTTATTTTTCGACACCAACCTACACATATTTTTGTGATTGTTGTAACAGGGTTGCATCTGCATACATCTTTATTGTAGGTGGTCCAAGTGGAAATCACAGGCCTGACGTTGGCAATCAAGCTGATTCTTTTGCTTTACTAATGAAGATATTCAGGGCATCACAATCCAGTGTTTATGACCCAGTATTAAGGACTTTGATCAATCTCTATGATCTCATGTGGTGGTACAGTGAAGATTACAGTATGGGAAGGAGGATAAACAGACAAAACAGTAGCTTGTTTACCGGGTGCAAAGACAACTTTTGAACTTATGATGCTACCACCTTACACGTAGGAGTAGAAGTGAACATGAATTTGTGTGAAATCGAAGTGTATGGTTGCATGCTGGGTTAGGTAATTTGTCCACACATTTTCAAATAATTTACAATAAACCTTTCCTGAAATTTTTCACCAGCTTTGATAGTCCTGCATCACAATACATTCTTCATTTTGCTTCTATCACCAAATTAAGATTCAGTTTACTAAATAATACACTCCAAATTGTATCAGTGCAGATCCCTACAAATACACTGCAATAAGAAAAAAGGAGTTAAATAAAATCTTCTTAGAAAGCAAGCACTGCATGGCTGCCAAAGAAAAACAACAATCTGAAGACAGATAAACAGAAGTCTGTCTTATAATTCGACCTCAACTTTTTTTATTATTGAACAAACATTTATGTCTTTATACTCTCCTTTCTTGCAGCATTTAAAGTGATGTCATGTTCAGGACTGGAGCAAATAAATTGTAACAAGGGTAATGCATTATGAGCAATTTATTAGCTCCTATTTTTACAACATCTTTTGATAGCTGAACTATTACAGAATAATTTACAGTAAATCTTTTCTTGTTTTAAACTTGGAGTATATCTGTCAAAAAAAGTTGTAAGCAATATTTCTTATGGATTTTTGAATGTTGTAACTGACACAAAACACTGCAAAACAAAAGGTAAGGTTACACTAAGGTACAAATTTACTACATTTCAATAGGTACTTTATATTTGCAGAGTTGCAACCTCACTTCACTGCATTCAGAGGATTAAAATTCTTCTAATTCCATACTAAACTAAACTAAACAGATATCCAGCTACACATTATTTTCCTGGGAGTGGATTTGGGTAGCTGGCAAATATACAGTAAAATGCTTTTTTTTGTAAAACAGTTTTTTTACTCATTGGAACTTGTTGGACTTTTTCAATAAATGCAAGTTAAACTTTGCTGTCATCCTTTCAAAACTGAGTGACGATAATCAACTGTATTTTAAGATACGTCAAAATAAAAAAATAAAAATAAAAAAAATTATTTTATGGGTGTCACACCATAGGGCATTATGTCACACTACAGGACAAAAATGGTAGTTATTGCAGTAAAGACAAAATATGAGTTATCACACCAAAGTACTCCCACTCATTTGTCTCTCTCAATTGTTTGTCTCAAAAAAAAAGAGTGAAGTATCACATTTTATACTTGTTTTTATGAAATTTTACAGCATTTTCTGGAAAGAAAACAGCAGATAATATTTTCTTTAATGTAATTATTGCATTCAAAAACCCTGAAAATGGTAAAAAAGAATAAAAAAGTACAGGTGTCACACCAGTGTGTCACACCAAAGGATGTTTCAGCCTTATGTCAGTTATTGACCTTGCTATTCCTAGCTAACCTGTCATTAGCAGTTAGCAAGACATATTTGCATAGTTTTCCATAATCATGCAGTTTAACATTCACAAGGGGCTTCAGTAACATGACCTTGAATGGGGTCCTTAAACTAATTAAAGTTGTTAGTCACACTAGAGGACATACAAATGTATCACATCCTTATGCTTTTAGAAAATATATGGGTGAAAAAAATGAATGCCATTTACTAAAATAGACACAAAATGTGAACATGTTTATGTTTTTGTTTTTTTTAATTCATAAAAGTTATAATTTATTTAACCATGCTTGAGACAGTCACCCAGAGGGCAATTTTGAAATTTGGCTGAAAAATTGAAAAAAATCTAATAACAAAGTCGTTTTTCTAACAACAGGTTCATGCAAAACAAAGAAATGTTTAACTATTTACTACATTTTAAATGATAACAATACTAATTATATTCATTTTCATCTTGGGTGACAGGGAAAATGTCATGTCACATCAACAACCCATTTTCAGTCTAATTCTCTTTATCACAAATTTACCACAGGCAGTTATAATTACACATGATAAGAGCTGTTAGAGCTTATCTTTGGTGACAGCTCCGTACCAAGACACCTGCTTTAATTTTTAACCACTGTTTTAAAGAAGTGGATAACAATTGGCTTGCAGTTATAAAACTGACATAGTACACCATCTAGTGGTTAATATGAATGTAACTGTCACTGTGCCGGGTTTTATACAAATTTATGTATAAAACATATTCAAGACATGAATTAATAAATTAAAGAAAGGTTTAGAACAACATGTACACAAATTACTTATTTAAGAATGTAAGTTGTAATTCCTACCGGATTGATATCAATGGTTGTCTCATGCTCTTCCTTGTTAGGCTTCATACCAAATATATCCTCAACAAATTTCTCATCTGCCTGGTAGAAGTGTGGTGAAGACATGATGATGGGAGCTCCTGAACACACAAAAGATTCAGTTATTAAGCAGAGCAGATTCAGAAAAACAACAGCCCTGGAAAACTCAACACTGCATTCATTCATGATGAAACAGCTTTCTAAAGAATAATTGCCTATGTTACCTCATGAAACATTGTTCTGTTTTTTTGTTTGTTTTTGTTTTCATGTAAAACAGCTGCTTAATGTGCTTCCCACCTTGTTTACATCCGCTGACATTCAACACACCAGAGCCCAGGCAATTTCCAGCAGGGACACAGAAGCCTGCATTTGCTGGATTCACGGTCATATTGGCAAACACCTCACTGGGGGGAGTGAAGCGATACCCATGGATCCCTTTCACTGTCACATCCTCCTCATACAAAGCGTACAGAGACCTTGGAAATTGAATCAGACGCTGGTTAACCTTTTGCAGGCACAAATCAATTCCATAAAACTGAAAGTGCAACAAAAGAGGGAAGGTTTGCATTCATTTTGTGCATGAGCTTTGTGGTAAGATGATTTACTGAAAGCCTGCTTGGCACAAACAGGTTTTTCAAAATTTGAGTTGACATTTCCCTGCCTCATAAAGCATAAACCCGTCTTTTCACAACCTCAGGAAGAGTTAGTTAATATGCAAATGCTGCACCCTCAGATCTGAAGTGTGTTAACAGTTAAACAGAGCTGATATTAGTTGCTTTAAGCAGCACTAAATAGGTATCAACATTACCAGTGACCTCATTCAAGAAGCTAACACTGACCAGCCATGCAACCAGCCAGGCTAAATTGGCATTCTTAATCCAATTTCCAGACATGAATAATGCAGGGAGGAAGGCTTAGGCAGACATTTTTAGCATGATTGAGGAGAGGCCGTTTTTTCCTTGCCAACTCAAACCAGGCAAAATGGAATACCAGAAAAATAATGGTCGGCAAAAGAGGAAAACAAAAAAACTACACCAAACTGAAATCCCTTTCATGTTACCCACTGTGAAGCCGTCGGCATTTAACACACAGTATTTAGACTCACTGCACCTGCACAGGTCAGAGGAGAACATGTAGAGCTTCTCAGTCTTGGTGATGACCGGATGGAATGACGCTCCGTTGGTTCCATTAATCATGTTGCACTCATCAGATGTCCACCAATTCAGCGAGCTGTATGGATGCACAAAATTCCAATGTTAATGTTTTCTGTTAGCATCAGCGTTTCAGCCTTTTAAATGGCCCAGCATTCAAGCAGGTCATCATTTGTGTTTTGTCAACCTGACTGAAGGACATCTCACCAATTCATCAGGCAACAAATCTGTTTTTAAATGTTTTAAATAGTGTGGGCCTGCAGTAGATCAAGACTGCAAACGTTTTAGGTCGGTAGGAGCTTGGCTAAAGCTGCTGCTGCGGCTGCTTTCGCTGAACAGCAATCCTTTGTGTGTTAAAGGAATAGTTGAAGGTTGGGGTCTATGAGCTAAGCAAACCTCCTGTTGGCTGTAGGTTCATATTTGACAGATACTGCATGAGAGTGATGGCTAGCAGTGTTAGTTGGCCAACAAGTCAAATGTGGAATATCATCATTATTTATACCTTGCTAACACAGACAACAGAGGAGTCTGAAACAACGAGGCTTTAAAAGAGAGACAGAGATGGAAGAGAAATCCAAAAGGTCAAAGAGGAGGATTAACACTGGTGTGAGTGAGTGTGAGTGACTTTGCTTGTTTTCCGTTACACAGATAACAAGTGAGTTAGTTACTTTAACTAACTGATGAGCCTGAATAATCACTTCATTTATCAGTATAAATACCTAGAAACAGAGTGAAATCAACTGTGAGATGACAATGGCATGGAAAATCAACAAGGAACTCACTTTGTGCTCCCTTATTCTTATCAAACAAGATTAAATAAACCTGATATAATCGTTATCCATCCATTTAAATTCCATGTAATCAATCATTTGAACTGATTGGATTTACAGAGTGACAGATAGTTCTATTATTTTGCACTGGAGGTGAGTGGAGACAATGACCTTTCACCGTTCCATGTATCCACTCTAGCAAAGTCCTTGTAGTTTTGCTGGCCAGTGAAGAACATATATTCACCGTCGTTGGAAGCATTGCTCTGTAAGAAAAAAAAAAAGAATAATTTCAACAAACAGCTCTCGCACAAGAAAGCCAAAACAACCACAAGGAAATGGCTGGTCCCATGAGGGTCTATGCAATTACACAAAAAACTCTTTGTGTGATTCTAAAAAAATGTCTGTGCAACTATCTGATATCTTTTGTACCATTTATATGAACTTTCCAGTCTGAAATAACTATACAATTATGTATCGTAATGCTTAATGAGACCTTATAGAAGAGTCCGAATACATCATCCAGATCAGGTTTTACAGTTTGGATGGCTTTGAGCAGGGCATCTTCATATCCCCACAGCAGCTCCCCCACTGTGCGGGTGGTGAACAGGCCTTCGTCAGTGGACTTCATGTAGGAGGAGATCAGATTGTCAAAGAAAGGCTCGTCCTTGAATCTCTCCATTACCGTCTACGAGAGGGAGGAAGAAGAGGGATCTAGTTAAAGACAACCTGTTATGTAAAGTGCTAAATTGCATAAGTGCCATACAAAATACCAGGTAATATAATAAATCATTTACTTGAGTAACATTTTTTTTTAAAGTTTATAGGGCAGTTCACGTGATAGTAGAACATTACAGCACAATATACTCTAGTCTAAGTGCTGCAACATCCTGCTGCAATGTTTTTACAGTAAAAGGAAATCAAATCCACTGGGAATAAGATAATTAGATAAAAAAAATAAAAAAATAGACAACATGGACTAATCTGTGAACTTTAAGATTAAACTATTTAATCTCTGTATCAAATTAGTTTAATAGTTTTTTGGACAATCCTGTTGCTTTTTTGTGGATGTCAAAATCATCTCAGAACTTCTTAAGAAGGCAAAACACTAAGTGGGCTAATAGTCAGAGATTTACTGAGTCTGCTGTTACTCCAAAGAATAAAGTACTTATTATTTATTCAACAGTACCCCTTATATTCACGTGGTGGACATAATAATCCTCTCTCACCTTCAAAATATCACTAAATACTATAAACTTTGAAATTCATAGATTTCTTTGGCTCACCAAGGCAGGGACGTTGACTGTCCTGATGAGGTCACTCTCTGGACCTCGAGACATGTTACGCTGGAATATGTAGGTTTTAGTATTGACAGCTGTTACTTTAGTGCCATTATCCTGGAAGTTCACTTGCTCCATAGGCCGGTACTCCCTGTGTACAAAAAATATAACAGTCAACCAGGTTAAGGTGGAAAGAGGTTAACTGTTGATAGTCAGACATGACAACAAGCTCTTTGTTACCGTGCTGCAGCCAAATATAAGTTTGTCCAGGATTAGTTTATGTCTCTATCTTTCTACAATATCAATCTCCCCAAGTCCTGAGTGCAATATTAAACACATTTAAAGTTAAATAATTATAAAGTTGTATACTGACAATCATAATGCATATCTAACTTAAATATAGCATTATGCAAAGGAGCAGCTGTTTCTTTTAAGTTATGTCCCTTCCTTCCTATCTAAAACCCACATCTTTGCAACTGTTGCAAAATGGCGACAGTTTCTATGATGAAATTAATGTCAATCCAGAAACACAAAACTCCTCACTTAAAAGGACAATCTCAACTGTTCTACACAACTAATTATCACCTTATTGTAACTTGAAACATAAGAATGAATCAGGAAAGAGAGTAGTAATTTTTATCAACAACTCTGCAACCTGCCCGGTTTAACTGATTCAGTGAACAAAAAACATTAAAAAAAAAACACACATCTCCCTTATGTTAAGATGTCTACCAAAGCAGGGATAAAATGATATATGAACTTCTGCACATATCGACTGGGTGAGTAAATGGATCACAGGGTTTTTGTAAGCCAAAGTAATGCTGAATTGACAGGATGAAAGGCTTTTTTTGGCAGAAAATAAGGAAGGAAAAATATAAATATCTCAGAAATGCAATCCTGATTTCAAACAAAGCTACTGTGTCTGTCAGTGCTGAGTCAAACAAGCTGTTTAAAGCTAGCCAGAGACAGGGTCACACTATTATCTCTCTGGATCAGCCTCTGCAAACTGTCACTGCTGTTTCTAAAAAAAAGACAGTAAGTAAGTAATGGCAGAAACATGCAGTTGTAAATGCATTTCTTTAAATTATTATATTTTGTAAACTATTTACAGTGGCCTACTAAAATTGCAACAAAAGCTATCTAAGAGAAAGGCTGGACAAAAGCATTCCAAACATTTTTTGGACTGCTATCAAGTCTGTGTGTGGTAGCTTTGGTGCTTTTATGCACTGCTTATGCACTGTAATCACACTATTCATGTAAACCTAAATTTACTATGGTAAACTTTAGTTCAGTCATTTTTTTTTTCACCTGGTGTCTTAAGGGAAGGGAAGGCCATTATTCTTTCAAGTCAAAAATACCATTAAAAAACATCCAAGTCTATTTTAAGAATTGATATCTTAGTGGACTTACATTCTTTGTCATTTAAAATTTTGTATTGTATTGTATAATGTAAATGCCCTATGCATCTTTGGGTACTTTCTTTCCTATTTAAGTTAATCTAATCATCAGCATTTTGGCACCTTTCTACCTTGCTACAACACAGCCAAAAGCTTTGTACTCACAACAAAAATAGCAGTAATTGACTGAATGTAAGTGACTTTTTTTTCTTTTACTGATGTGACAATTTGGCTTCTTCTGTTAATTTTTGTTCATGTTTAGGAGGAGGCACCTTGATTACAATTGTTTTCGCTTCCCCTTCTCTAAGACCGAGTGGCTTGTCTTCTTGCTATGACATCTGTAATTCTGTTTTATTGAACAGATAAAAACAGAAGAAAAACTGAAGCTTTTCTCCCATTCTGCTTTCACCTGTACGTGTATGGTCCAATCTCCACCACAGCAGGCCTGTCCCCATCCAGCACCTCTAGGGGATTGGTCAGGTTAAAGAAGTAAAACTGCATGTAGATGGGTGCTGGTGGATTCTCCCAGGCTTTAAATGCCTCTGTGCCATTCTTCAAAACTACTTCCTATGGGGGACAAAGATCAGTGGGTTACTAGTCTTGTACAGTTGACAAAATTGTGTGACTTCAGACAGTTTACCTCATGCTGACTAAGGTGTCCTCACATCATATGACAATCACCACTAGTGTATAAATCTGCAGCTAGTGGTGGGTTGGGTGTCATGATACGCTGTTAATGTCACATTAAAGTAGACCACAATGCAGGAACAGAAAGCAAAATAACTGTGAAAAACTACTTTCCCTTATTAATCACTTAAAAATGACCCTCTAGCTGCTGTGTACAACTACATAAGCATGTTAGAAACCATATATTAGCTAGCTATATGTTTGTATACTGCTTATAAATGCTAAACAAGGCGAATTAAAGTAATGTTTCATCATGAATTTAATCAGATATTTAATTTCAAAGTTAATATACGTAACAATACCAATATGACATGAGAACATAGTTCATTAAACATGTTGCCCATGGCAGTACTGGCAGCAGCTGCCACAACATGGCCAACTTAGGGAGTCGTCTGAATTTATAAATGTGAGTCATTTGTAAAACATTCAACTTACTGAGCTGAAGAGCTATAAAGCTGTTCAGCTACGTCTTTCATAATGAAATTCAGAAGCGAAGTTGAAACACAGCGTCAAAGGCTGGCTTTGCTGTTTTATCAACTCAAGCTAAGCTAACATTAGCTGTCACCAAATGTCTAAGTTAGCTTACTGGCAGATTGTCAAATGTTAACGCCTGTTATAAAACGTTAGCCTGGAAAGGATGCTTACCTTTTTAACTACCGACTGCAAAAAATGTGGAAATACGTTAGACAAGACCAGAGAAATGCCCGTGATCAAAAATAGCAAAGAAAAAACTCCTACGCTGTAAATGCAGCATGATTTCAGTAGCATGATGAGACAGCAGGCTGATCGCTAACAGATACAGCTTTCAGTAAGCTTTCACTGACATTAGCTACAGTGTGTCTGCTGTGTTTGTTTTGATTTCCCAGGAACTTGCTCGACTGTGCAAAGACACACATCCGGAATGAAATGTTTCACTAATACCACTTCCGCTTTCCTCGAAGGTCGTCGGCTTCCCGGAACATGAAGCCGTGACGAATACACTACAGCAATGTCCTTAAAATAGCCCATGTAAGTTGTATATAATTTTGAAATGTGACAGTACTCTAACAACCATTTGGTGATAAACAGAATAACTATTTTCCACGTTATCTGGTTGTTAAAGCCAAAATGTAGGGCAATATCTATCTTGAAGATGAACACTCTTTGTTTTTAATCACATGACAGTATTGCTCATTAAACCTCAGTCAGAAGCTTTTTGTGGACCATTGTGTTTCAAACATAAAACCCAATATGGACTCGTATGAGATAAACAACCAGATCTAAATAAATTTGTTGATGTACTTAAGTAAACATTTAAAACAAAAAATTGACGCAAATGTGACAAAAAATTAATTACAAGCTGGTTTTCCATGATAGGAAATGTCAATTTTTCTACATTGCTGCGTATTGTGGCCATCTGTTTGAGTGTTACATAGCCTATTGTGAGAGACACACAATATCATTAAATTACATCAAATTAGATCTCTAACATTCTTCAAAATGCATCAAAACTCAGGTTATGCCTTGATTATTCTTTGTGTAAACAAATCGAGAAGATTTCATTGCACCATTGTTTCTTTGTAAAAAAAATGAAAAAGAGGAGACTATGCTACTATTTTATTTTGATGTAGGGTCAAGGCTGAATTACCTGACCAGCAAAGTGAGTGCCAGAGGGCTCCAAAAGTTCTAAAGGTCCAATATCATTTTGTTACAGTTGGTTTGTGATTTGGTTTGCTTAACTGCAATTCTATTTGTTTATATGCAACCCCCAAGCAAGAATATGTACACAGAGTTCTTCCAGGTGGGCCCTGCATTATTAGCTGTCTTGTATGTCATGTATAGGGGCCCACAACAGTGTTTAGCTAAATTAGTACTTAGGGTGTTTGAAGGCTCAGAGCTCATTCTTATGCCAGTGCTTCCCTAACACATACATGTGGCCATGTGTAGGCTTTACACATACGTGTAGGCCTAACCTTACTTTCCTCTCCCCAGTTTGTTCATCCTCTCTGTACTTAATTTCTACATTAACAGTGCTGAAGTACCCCTGAGCAAGGCACTTCATTGCCTTGAATCATTTCTTGGCCAGACAAACTAGTTTCCTACTATCATTCAGGTAAATTCAGTGTTTGACACATCCTGACTTGAAGGGTGCAGACAGGATCTAGTAAAATATAGAATTATCACTTTGTTAAGGGTTCTTAATAACACAGGAACCATGTAAATTGAATGACATATTTTGTTGTGTGTGTGTACTATGCCTGCATGCAATCAGTATATCAGTACATGTTTAAGCATAACTTGGTGTATATCTAGATTAACAACAAGTCCAATATTTTATAGCATATGCAAATAGCCAATGTTTTTATGTTTTTCATGTTTCATTGTGTAAACCACCAGATATTACACATTTATTTTTATTTTATCAATTAAATTATTCATTTCACAGAAAAACAATGTAGTAAATGCATTCTCCAGTAGGTGTCGCTGTCTAAACATTTTCAAAGACTCCATGCCACTGCCTACATTCTTTGCTGCTCTATAAACAAGAGCCAAAGCACTTGTTGAGTCAAAATCTCATATAAAAGGGCCACACCTTGCCTAACCTGACTATCCTACGAGCAGTCGTCTATGCATATGTGTGTGCGCTGTCTCCTTTTCTCTGTCATTTTCCTTTCCCTGATTGTTTAGACAGAAATTCTAAAACTACATAATTTGAAAGACACAGCTACCCACACTCATTAGAGAGATATTTTGAGATCTGCCAGGTGTAGAGACCATAACAAACTGTGTATGAATGACATATGCTGAATGGAGTGAAAAGTGGTCAATTTATTCAACAGCCATAGGCTGTATATAAAAAAATCTAAAATATCTTCTTTGAATGAATGGTTTCAGTTTATGACACACAGATAATGTGGTAGGCTAGGTTACATGATCTCATCTTACCAAATGGCATCAGCATTACAACCTTACAGCTCAGACATGTTCTTACATGCATTAATAAGTTTCACTACTCTGCTGTTGCAACATAGGCCCATAATGTTAACATGACTTGTCTACAGAGATTCTCAGTCTTACAGATGATAAACACTGATACACACTGATTTTACACATAAAGACCAGGTATTAATTTATTGGAAAGACAAAACAGCCTGTAGAAATAGCTAATTAATGAAAAAATTTAATTAATTCTGTGGATCTGGAGGAGTTTTTGTCATGTCTGAAATGCATTATGGGAAATGTAGGAACCAGCCTTTTGGGAGCTTGGCCAATTTTAAGGAATACAAATCAGAATATCTCAACCCATGTATTGTCCACTTCTTTATAAATATAGCACTTGGAAGTCCATCAGCTTTATGGGAGAGCAACACTAAATTTCTGGGCCTCTTTAAGCAAACAAACACCCCCTGGCTACTTTATAAGGTAAATCAACACAATTTAATGTGATCAAACATAGCAGTTTGGCCATATACTCTACCTTGAAAAAGCTCTTAGTGGCTTTCTGTGTGCAACACACTTTTAAGACATCTTTCAATCTTTTAAATCTTAATGTCTGTGTCAAAACGACTACAGAGCGACACAAAATGACTCAAAAAGTTTGTACCCATTGTCTCATAATCCATCCATGGTTATATTGGAGCTTCTTCTATATGATAGTTTACTGCATGAAAACCTACAACCAGCTAGCCTTTTATATCAGTCTGGAAAACATATACGCGTGAACGTACGGTGAAGTAATAAGTAAACAAGTAAAAGAGTGAGAGGGTTTTCTTCTATTCAAATTTTTACTATTCTAGCTGTGAGTATGGTTTTGTGGGAAATACCCCTTTAACCAGAACATGAATGGGCCACAATCTATGGCCACAATGGAGAACACAAGAGGGCTCGCTCTCCGCGGTCACGAGAGCACTGGGACAGTGACGTCACTTTCCTAAACCGGGCTACAGCAGTTGAGTTGAGTTGAGTCCCGAGCGAGAGACAGGCGAGAGTCCGTGAACAGCTCAACTTTTAATGTATGCGAGCCGAGTCGGGTCAGTGTGTAGCTGCGGGCGCACTGTTTTCTTCTCCTTTATGCATCCTCCTGCTCGACTTAGCTTAACAACGGCTCGCTGTTTTCTCACCGGTTCGGTAGCTAATCTGGTTTTGGCACAAAAAGCGGTTGTGTGTCAGTCTCTTTTATGTGTCCAGCCCTCCTGCGACTCCAACACATAACAGGGTAAGAGTGTCCAGTAATTTCATATCATGTAAGATGTCGTTGGTCGAAGTAATTGCTAGTCATTTTTACAAAAGCCTCACAACTTAATGTTTGTTACTCCCGGCGATAAATTGAACAAGTAGGTCCTGTGCTGTCCCGCGGCGCAGTTACAAAGCTCAATCTGATATTCAAGTGTTTGGTGTACAGCGATGCACGTCTCGCGCCTTTGATACTTCTTGTGCTAAACGAGTTGCAGCTTCCCCCATGTTTATTCATGTATCCAGACACCACTTCCATTGTTTGAGAAGCTGTATGAAATGAAAATATGCACAGGTAACAACTTGGTCAACTGTGGTTTGAATTGTTTACTGGTGGTAGTAAGTAGCCTATGTGGCCCTTACCATACCCAGTTCGTGCTTTAATACAAAACTTGACAGTGGATTCAGTGTTAGCTGTGTTACAGAAGACCACACATTTGTATAATATTTATTAATTAACCTCTAATATCTATAGAGATGTTCTCAATTCATACTACAGCTTCTTGATTGTGGTTTTTAATCTGCATACTTTGTCATTGATGGACTGCTGTTATTTTACAGTAAATCTGAATGAATGTGGTAGGCAAATGTGTTAATCTGAATGGCTTCAATGTTGCCAGAGGAGCCCAGACATGGTTGTCCTTCGCGCACCCACTTACTGCACAAAACACCTCTAATAACACATCAGGATCTGTGTGCAAAAACTCAAGACTTACCCTAACTTGCACTTGGTGTCTGCAAACCTTTATGAATACAAACATTTAAAAATATGATCTCTTCAGGACCTCACTACTAGTATTCATTGCAAAGAGTCTTTAATTGCTTACAAAGTTCTTTCAGTTGAAATACAAGCTCACACAAAGGACTCTGGACATAAAAATAATGGAGTAAGTAGCCTAATTTTGCTGGAACACCCTCCAAGATATTTTGGGGGCAAGTCATCAACAAGGTAATTTCAGGCATGAAAAACTGGAAATACGCTTGAGGCATGAAAATACAGTCACCACACATCCCCAAGGAGTTTGTGGTAATTTAAAACATCCCAATAGGACACAATACAAAACTAGATACCAGTTCCAACAACAGTTTAAATTAAAATTTTAAATTAGAATTGCATGTGTTAATGCTAAGTCCATTCCCAAAACTATGTAGTTTTTAAAGAGGAATAGGTGATTGTAACAGTTCCTCATATTTGTTACAGCTTGAGTATAGATGTTGTGATCAAACTCATTATGAAACTATAAATTCAGTACAGCACATTTGAGTTTTTTCAGGAAAATGTTGATTTACTAAGGCTGTAGACTACTGCCTCCATAAATCCCTGATGTTGCACTGCACATTTACAGTTCATCCTGACTGTACTTGAGTGGGTACAGTGTCACAAAATACTTCATAAGTCAGGTAGTTCAGTCTTTTCAGAAACTCTAAATCACATTAGAAAAGAGAGCAAACATCACTGAGGCTGAGTTTAAACATCTGTGTTTTTTTTTCCTTCACAGCCTTGACTGAGTGATTGAGTGAGTGACTGCATGGACCGGACTGAACATGAAGAGCCTTAAAGCCAAGTTTAGAAAAACTGATGTAAGTATTGTAACATATGTTCATGGCTGTGTCAAGTGTGTGCCCATGTGTGCTTGTGTATGTCTGTATGGCTGAGTCAGTGTCTGTGTATGTATGACTTGAGCAGTTGCAGATGATTTATGGTTGAGTTTCTCAACCTTGGGGTTAGCAGTGCCCAGTGGCTTGTTGACATTTTGCTATTTGTTTAAGAAAAAATAAATAGTTTTGAAAAATAAAATAAATAGATTTCAGTGATAACGTCCATGTGATCCATTTAGAGCTCCGTCTGTGCTCTTGTAAACAGAAAAAAAGAATGCCATGTTCAGTTTCACATGATAACTTGTCAGCTCTGATTGGGTGTCATGAGAATTTTAGGACCCTGAAAAAGGGGTCATGAGGTTGAAAAATCATGATTTGTGGTGTTAGCGATATGACACAGACTTTTACACAGACAGGCAACACAGAAACCACACACCTCTCATGTTGAGCCACTTTGTGAGTTTTTTTTCTTTATTAATCCTACAAAGACCACAAGTATATTCAGATAGTCTGACTCTTCACTGTTCCAGATGAGGATTTGATCCTGCTGACTATGAATCACTCTTTAGGGAGGAATTTCTCCATATTGGTTCAGTCATTTATTCGGTCACAGTCTAAGATACTCTAGATTCACAGGAAGTGAGGCGTCTCCACAGCATCTGACTCATCTGTTGTCACGGTGACCGTAATGACACAGAGTCAAATGCCAGACAGGAAAAGTCTGGAGGGCTGCTGGATGAATGGGATAAGTTTTAGGGGATAGAGGGAGTGTCGCAAAATAGAGAAGTTGGGATATGGAGTGAAGAAATGAGACACTAGGTTTATGTAGGCAGTTTCCATGAGATTAAGAGTGTGTGGCGGGGCAGGGTGATGAGCTCTGGTTAAATGGCATGCTTTGTTGAGAGAGAAACTGTCCCACACAGGAAGAATTAGGTGGAGTACATCCCTGCTTTTACTCAGTTAAAGTCACAACATACTGCAGGGCATAGTTGGAGTATGGAGTATGGATTGTGTAGAGAGCAGGACTTCTGTTAGTGTAGAGCAAATCAAAGACTTGAAGAACATTCAAATGCACAGTTAAAACTTTTTGTAAGGAATATTGAAGCATAATATATTTATATCAATAGAAAACCTGGAGAACAGCTATTTTTCCTTTAACAGCCTGCAATTTTGCATGGCCAAAGTCCTAATATTAGTAAATGATTGCAAATTCAGTCAGCTATGTAGGGGAGTACAATAGTGTCCATTGTTCTTGAAAATATTGAGTCCAGGATTGGGCTGCAAGGTCACAATAGTTCCCCCTTAGTGAGTAAAATGGACGGTGGTGGTCTCACCTTTACTATGTGCTTTCCAGTCAAAACCTGTATTGTTACAGTAAGAGTTGTAAATAGTTTGATGCTTTCAGAGTGAGATGCTTGTCCTCACTAAAATAGCCAGTTGTAGGCGGTTTGAGAGAAGAAAGAGAAGATCAGTAGATGTGAATGTTGCTTAGAAACACGACTGAGGCCATTTGCAGTCATGCATGCCTTTGCAGACCTCACACCCACATACATTGTCACAGTTTGACCGCTTGGATATCTCAAAATTATTTGGTTTGCCTTCAATTGTAATAAAACCCTGTTTTCATATGTGTACATTGATATGGTACTGTTTGGAAAAGGAAACGATGCTGCATTGTTGTGCTGTATATGTATTTCATGTTTCATGCCAAGCCCTGCCCATCATCCAAGTCAATATTGCACCGTCTGTGTATGTATGTCATGCTTGGTGTATTGATTATGTACTATAATCAGAAAACAGTGTATTTCTGTCCTGCTGCTTTCTGGAAAACTATGTCAGACCAACTACTATATTTTGAGTTTACAGATAAAATTATTTTCTGTGAAGCACTTTTGTGAAATAGAGAACCACTATACCTTCTTTCAAGTACACATTCATTTTGTATGCAGAGGAAACCTGGGTAAAACAGTTTCACTTTTACATTGCACACTTAGTGATTATAATTACTGGTCATGATTAAGATATGCAAAAAAAAGTTCCACAAGCCAGGATGTTTGTCCTTTGAGCCAATAGTCATTCCATTGCTTTTTATAGAAACCCTGAACAACCGTAATAGAAAGAAAATATCTCTTTGGTTCTATTTTAGGCTGTGTGTTTCAGTGACAGATTACTCAGGAATGTTCCCCCCAAAACCAGCCCTTCACTTTTTAACAAAATAACAGAAACTTAATGCCCTCGTAAAGAGGTTTTTATGAAGTCAAGACATTTCCAGATAATGTGTAATGGAATATGTGTTTTAGTGTCAGATCTTTACTAAACGCCTCACTTTGAGGGTAGTCCTGCAGTGCAGTGAACTGAATGCATCAAGCAGTAAAACCTACTGAAACACGTCTACAACATGAGGCCCATATAAAGTAGATGTGTAAAAAGGGGACTAAGAATAAGATGTGTTTTTTCTGTAATATGATACATGCAGGATATTGGCAAAATGTAGAGCTCACTGATAAGCCCTACTATTAAAACCTTGATGATTTAATTGTACACAAGTTAGAAAGAACACAACATAGTTCAAACAGACATCAACAATACGCTTTTTCTTTATCAAAAAGACGTTCAATGTAATAACAGACATTTTGACACAAAGCAGGAAGAGAACCGATGTGTTTTTCCTGCCCCAACACATATAAATGTCTGTTATTAACAAAACCTTTCCCATCACTTCAGCCTTAAATCTCAATTTTTATCGTTCAGACATTTTACACACCTTGCAAACACATAATTACTCTGATTAATTTCACTGTTCAATGCCACCTGGCCCACACAGGTCATTATATCAAAGCACTGTGCAGACCCACCGAGCTTGATTTTAAATTCTATTTCACATCATGAATTTTCCAAACATGAGAAATATTTCATGCTGAACAGCAGGGATTGCGTAACAATTTATGCACAAGACATCTTCCATTTGATGCAGTGTTGCAGCCATAAATGATATCTTGGGGTTTGAATATTAAACTCAGGGAGGGATATTAAGAAAGACTCAACCTCAGATACACACATGAGCCCATGCACTTTACTTTGTCCAGATTATAACTCTCATTTCTAAAATTTAGATGTAAGGAGTTTTTTCTTATCTCATTTAGTTTTTTTTGTACCATTTACACATTGATTTTAGAAGTTAGTTTTATTTCTTCTAGTACCTTGTCTCTGTGTGTGTGCTTTTAATAATTTGTGATGTTTAATACCTAGCTACAAACCTCTAAATTTCCTCTGGGATGATACATCTTAAAGTGTATACTTTAAATGTGGCATCCGTGTAGAAAAAATATTTTATCAATCTTAAGGAATTAGGGCTAGAGTCCATTTGAGATTAATTTATTTCCCTGCCCTACTTTAAGTTACTCCAAACTTGAGGTGCTGTAATTATTGATTAGGCTGCTGTACCCGATAAGAAAGACATGAAGGTCAGGTTGTGTGATGATTATCTGAGACTACACACTCACCCAGAAAAAAAATATTAATTGCACACCACGCACACACACATTTGCCACTGTACTTTCTAGGTTCAGGTTATTCTTTTATTGTAAGGGATGATGTAGGCAGTAGGCTGCAATCATTATGAAATAAAACTACTCTATCCATCAAATGCTGGCACTTAAAGCTATGCTTGAATCACTTAACACATACAACCCTTAATTAAGGCACCATTGAACAACCATGGCTTTTCTAACTGGATGTCATCTACTCAATTAAGTTTGACAAAAAACTGTCCCTTATTCCCACATTATATTCATAGAATGCTTTAAATATTTTTTATGACCTAGCAGCATATTTGATTGTTGGGAAATATGTTGGGCTATAGAAATAGCATGCAAACTATCTAAAATTGTACAGCCAGGCAGACTCCGCAGGATGTGTCACCAGGTTAAGTAGATCGGCTTTCTCAAATACTGCCCTGTGAATGCACTGTAAGGCTAAGCAGTGTGAAAACGCCGCCTACACTAAAGGTGCTTGCGCATTTCCAATCTTAATGTTAAACAGCGTTAATGCTGCACAAAAGATGAACTGAGAACACAACTGAATGTGTGATTTTTCTCACAGATTACACAGCAGTGATAATAACAGAATTTTTTCCTGCAAAAGGATCATTATGGCTGTGTTGTGATCTGACTTTTTCCACAATAAATTTCCACCAGAATTCTTCACACTCCAGTGCTTAAAAGGGAGAGACACCAGTGTTGCTTTATCAAACTCTCAAAGCAGGTGTGTAGATATGCAAGGTCAAAGTGAATCAGAGGAATTCTTCTAAATCTGTGTGTTTCCACCACGTATGTGTGTGTTCTTGTGAAATATTTGCAAGTCTGTCTATAGACTCTGTGTCTGCGTTTGAGTGCTGTTTCTGCCTCAATATGTCTTTGGAGTACATCATTGACATTTTGGGATTCGTTTGTGGATCATTTCAGTTAAGCCTATTTGGCCAAACAGTCAGTATAATGAGGGAGTTTCTGTGTGTGTGTGTGAGCAGTGTTTAAGACAAGCAGACGGTGTAATCTGGTTTCTGGGAATGGGTTTGGCAAACAGCCACACAGAGACTTACAGGCATTTTGCTTCAGCCACGTCTGAACAGTCAGCTGTCAAAAATGGGTTTGCTGTGAACCTGCACTGACGAAATTGATAAGAATGGTTCTCTTTGTTGTGTTAAATTAGACCTCATTCATTTCATTTAAATCCAATTCTACCAATTTGACTTTTTTGACACATAAAGAACTGAGGTGGGCACAAAGCCTGTAAAATAAGGTTGTGTGAGAATGTATATGATACTGTATTGTGTCTGTCAATTGATCAATAACTGGTTGTAATTATACTAATATACTTAATTAATTTAAGGCTGAGTTTGATTGTAGAATATTGATTGGGATTCAAATATGTGGGCCAAACAGCACTATCTCTATTAATGTAAATATTTTTGTTAGATTTAGTTA